TGGCCTAGGGTCTATCCGAGAATGGCTGGCTGGCGTAAGACGGAGTAGTTTTGGTGGAAAGAAGAAGGTGGAGAGGGAACGCAAAGACAGGCTAGATAAGATGGAAGGCGTACGCGACGCTCTATACAGGACGATTGAGCACTTCAGGAACGAGGGGCGGTAAGTCGGCGGTACTCGTTCGAGGAATAGTCAAACTTATACTCCTTTTAGTCACGCAGTTTTGGATCCATACCGCTGTGCATTCGACCCGAAACATGTCGGTTCACCGGGAGGATCGGTCGAAGCACCCCCACACAAATATCTCTTCCACTGTTACATGTACGAATATCATACATTGCAACTCGGGCTTCTGCTTGCAAGCATGGTAAATGTCTAATCAGCAGTGTATTTTCGGCTCGTTCTGATGTGTTTCTAGCTCGATGAGATCGTGCGCCTCGAACAGGAACGCAAGAAAGCTAGGTTGTGGGTCCCCAGGATTTCTGTCTTCTTACTGTTCTGGTCAAGTCGATGGAACGGATCTGCGGATATGGATCGCGAAGACGACGAAGATCCAGGTATGATAAGCTAGATATCCCGCCAATCTATCGTGTTAACTCATTCCTGCCAGATATTATCCAAGGAATGGAGGCCGAGATGGAGGCCGACCTAGGTATGACTTCCAGGCGAGATCCAGATGCCCTACCCCCGTCCAACGGGTTTGAGGCGATTATGTACTGGGTGCATCATTCGATCACTTCTTTGGGCGGAGGAAATTCAGTCTTCGCTCTCAAAGCTGGGCTGCTGACCGGTACGCATGTTGAGAGAATGTAAACCTACACATCACTGACCCTGTCGTAGTGATTTTGAGTCTTCCTTACTACATCAAAAGTTCTGCACAATTCGCATATGGTAAGTACTTGTCGTACTTTCACCCCTGGCTTCCAGCCAACTGACGTCATGATGTTCTTAGATCAACATTTTGTTTGGGGAATGTGAGGATTTGAAGCGTCCCTTGGACTCCGATCTTTACATCACGCTGACTTTGCGTCTCCAGCTTCATGGGTCAACTCACCCTTGCACGCTTTAGGGGCGATACAACGTTCGGCCTTTTTGCCCGTGTATTCTCGACGTTCTTCGGAGGCATTGTGGGCACCATAATCTGGTACGATGATTTTTCACCCTTAAAACCGATTGACTAGTAATCTTGACGTACTGGTCACGTAGGTACATTTCTACTGGAAGCGGGAGAGGCAATTCATTTGGCTTAGCCGCCGTTTGCGCAGTCTGCTTTCCCTTCTTTTTCTACGTGCGACTGTACTGGCCTGGTCCTCCTATGACCAATCTCATTGTTCGTACATCCACTGCCTTGTCTCATGGTCGCACGGCTGATTGACACTTCCCATGACGCACAGTTCTTCGTCACCTCGGTTCTGGTGTGTCATCTGTTATACGGGTTGCCCTGATTGCGGCGTTAATGCGCAAATTATCTAGGTGATTGGCTTTTCCTGGCAAGATACACATTTCCCTGCGGGTTTCCCTTACTTCGGTTTCCAAGTAGCATGGGTACGTTCAAGCAATTAACGTTACTTGTACCGTATTGACGTTCTGCGGCTCTGACAGAGGCGCTTCGTATTGGTTACAGGCGGAGTCACCGCTGCATTGTGAGGAGTGTCGGAATCTACTCGTTAGAATATCCACTAACATCATTGAAACAGCCTTGCATCATTCCTTCCCCCTTCCAATACCCTACGCGGTTACCAGCGCCGGATGATGTCCACTACCGTGGCGGAAATCGGCACCGTGTATTGCTCCGTCGTATCATTTGCAAATACGCAACACAGTTACGAAATGGATAGAGGAGCAATCATCCAGAGTTTGATAGCCATTCGGTTGAAGCTTAAACGCTCGCTCGTTCTTCGAACTAATATCATCTATGAGGTAAGATATGTTTTGAAGCTTGGTGGGACAAAGATCTAAATCACCCATCAGTACTCCTTGCGAGGCAAATGGCCGGCTCAACGTTATCAAAAGATACTGGAAATTCAACTGTGAGTAATCCGCTCTGAAAGGCTATTCAACACTTATATATTATTCATCTAGCCAAACCGCTTATTTATTGTCACATCTGATGTCCGTAGTTGAACATCTAGAACCTGCATGGCGTCGGGCATTCCTACGGCGCACCCGCTTCCTCGATGCCGACTTTCAAGGAGACGTACTTGCCGTTATAAGTACGTCGCTTCCTTGTTTGTTTTTGCTCGCCGACTGCTGATACCATGCGGCATTTAGGCATGATTTCGACGTCTCTTCGTACAGGGAACCCTCTCCCACAAATTACGCCTTGTCCGCTGGTGGACCGCTACATGCAATATACCCACGGACTCAATGTTATCCGACAAGAAGCTGATGACGATTACGGCCTTCCACGTACCATGACTATTGATACCCTGGCCAACGAACAATACCTGTGAGCATGGTTCTTCCTTCGTAAGCAGTAGTACAGCGGCATTGGAACTGATGTTTTTTCTCCTTGCAAAAGCTGTTTCTCCGTTGGATGTACAACTGCTTTCGGCATAGTGACCCGTTTGGATCGCCTTATGATCGCTACCAAAGAGCTCGTTGGGGAGCAGTATCATATCCACGGTGTTGGCCTACCGCCACAAAGCGCCTTTCCTAGTCGACCAGTTTCCGTACGCCCAGGGAAGGATGCATAAAAGGAAATTTAAAGAGGATCCAACTATCTCCATGCTACCTCATATTCACGATTATATGGATGTAATTTTTTGTATATAGCCACTTATTCATATTCTACACTCGTTTTTGTCAAGTTTGCCGTGACCTCAGTCCTCATAAAAATGTAATTCACTTCACCATTGTAGCATTAATGGGGTAGTGGTAACCTGGGTCGTTGCCATCGACCCGCCGGGGGTTCGATTCCCTCTTAATGCATTTTTATTTTGAAGATACCCAGACTCCTTCGTCCACTCCCTTTTTGTATCAAAAGGAACGGTTGTAAACAGTTTATAAACAGTTTACGCCAGAGCATATGGCCTCCGAAAACAAGGAAAAGTGTATTAACTTGCCTTATCTCGGAAGCTCCAACCTGCTTCAACTCAAAATTTTAGCAGTTCAATGAGATTGTATATATGTTACGTTGCGGTTGAATCATTTCGATTCCTAGCTATGCCTGACTTTGTCTCAACGTCACAGCAAAATTAGGTAGGTCATGCCTTATAATTTAGCACTTACTAGGTCTGATTCAAACGTCAGGATCATAATGGTTCGAATTTCTCTCTGTGAGTAGCATGGTATAAGTTGAAGCATGAGTTCCTGTAAACATACTGGTACAATTCTCTTGGTACATATTCCATTTCTTCCGGCTCTATCATCATCCTCCGCGAGCCTTGAGGATCTCAGCAAGTTCGACGAATGAAGTGACCACGACGTCCATGTCTCCACCTTCTGCTTTGCTCTTGATCTCATCGCGTACGCCCTCATCTTCAGTGGGCCGACGGATATAAACCGTCTTAATACCGAGAGTAGCAGCAGCTCTAACGTCATAAATGTGCGAAGCTACCATCGCACATTGGTGAGGAGCTAAAGCGAGATGCTTGATTGCCGTCTGGTACACGATGGGATTCCTGAGATAGTCAAAACGAGGAAACGCAGGGTCGTCAGTGATTGCGATACTGATGTAGGTGGAGTACGAACGGTTTGTATGATCCAAAGAGTTCGCTGCAAAAAATTACGTCCCAAGGAAGATCTGCGAACTTTGCCTTATATCGCGTCACTGTTAAGCTTCTTGCAACTCGCAGAGAGTGGTAAGTTGCCAGTTACTTACCATGTCGACGAGTAACTTGACACTCCCATTAGACAAAGTGGTGATTATGGCTTGCTTCTTGATTGCGTACAAACCCTCTTTCGAATCAGGCCATCCTGTTTGATATTTTGATTAAGGTTACACTTGCACATTCATACCCAGATTCAGAGGTGAGAATAGCCTACCACTTAAGCGGTGCCATGCGAGTGTCAGATCCCTCCGCTTCTCTTCGTCCCAGAGAAGACCGAGATGTTCCCATCGCGGCGAGGCAAGCATGGAGTCCAGAATCTATGACTAGAGGTATAAAATGCTATTTGCCGTCTTGATTCAACGAGACACACTTCGCGATGAACAACATCCACGTTCATAGAACCAGTACCACCTTCAGCAATACGACGCCTGAATTGAACCGATTTATAATCAGGGTATGACTCTCCACTGTGACAATGGCAAGTGCAAGGTAAGAGTGCGTACGTAGTTGCAAAGTACCCTGCGCGCCACTCTTTGGCGAAAGCAATCCAGTCGACTACATAAAAGATGAGTTCGCAATGATAGACGAGAGATTCTGGACATCCGCTCACTTCCCAGTAAACCTTCATAGTGCCTATTGAGTTCCTGCGAGACACCGCCTTGCCAATCAACGACTGTCCCGAATACGTCGAAGAAGATGGCTTCAACGCCTCTGAGAGCTTCCATCGCGTCTCGACGGTCTTGCATCCCCATCGCAAGTGTGGTTCAGGTGATTCTTTGACGTGTCAGAATGGGCTCAGGTTCCTTCAGGCTTAGAAATAGTAATCTTACATTTTCAAGTCAGAGCTGGATGAGCACAAGCACTGGGTCAGGGCGGTAGTTTTGATTTTGATAAAACAGGTGATAAAATCGGAATATAATCACATAGATTTGATGCAGATTTGTCATGAATAAAATATTTCACCAAATCGGGTAAGAAACTGGCCAGAAACGGACGAATGCGGGGAAACTCACGGAAAAATGGGATAAATATCCAAATTCTGTTCCTTTTTTAGTCATGATAAATCCGCATCAACATTATGTGATTATATTCTGTTTTTAACGCCGGTTTTGTTATAAGCACAATTGCCGCGCTGACCCAGTGAAGGCAGGTTCGGACTTGTTAATGAAATAATTTAAAGAAAGTTCAAAAGGCTGACTCAGACTTCATCTCACGGTGCGATAAAATAGGTACACTGGAAGGGAATCGAACCCTTGCCGCTTGCTGCCTTTTGCTTAGTCGGCTATTATGGAAGGCAAGCATGATAACCACTTCACCACCAGTGTCACAATTATTTTGAACAATCTTAAAATTATGATACTTCCGTAAATCCAATGACCTTCAACCAAAAGAATATTCATATATAGATTAACTGTTTGTAGTACCAGTGCGATTATTATAAACATAAAAAGCTTGCGCTATAATAAAAGGAACATCCTCGGGCTGAAATTGAGCGTCTCCATGGTCAAGAGATCGTGCTGGGGACTCGATATTGCCGTTCATATCCTCGTCCTCGGGTGGAGGGGTTAACGGTCCATGCCAACAGGACAACTCTTCCCATGAAAGGTAAGCCGAGCTAAATAACGCCTCCTTCAAGCCGACATAAGAGCGAGAGACTTGAGTTCGGCCGAGCCCCACTGTATTAACTGATTCTTCAGCTAAACACTGCTCTGCAGAGGTTGGATCCTCCAGCGGATCCGCATATTGCCAACCTGGTCTGACTTGGCCCACGAGCATCCGTTGCCGCTTGCTGCGAACAGCTGGAGCACTAGCTACAGATTTAAAGGCAACCCGCTGATTCTGTTCATCAACCACGATCGCGATGCCCATAGGTTGACAATTAGAGGTACTGTAGATAGTGCCCCACTTCGAACCCTCAGGAAGTATCATAGAAGGAGCTAGGGGAATGTTTGGCGGTGGCTGAGCCCCTCCACGTCGTGGCCTCTCTTTGACTGTTTGCGATGATTCCCTACTGTTGCCCGATACCTGTGTGGATTTCTTAGGTCCTTTCTTCCATATTTCGAAATGGCATGGTTTGCCATTGATGTCCACTCGGTGCTCTCGGGTGGAAATATACTGCTCGCCCCGGTGCGCGCAACAACTTGTGCAATTGCAGTAGTCGGCGCATTTGGGGCAGACAAATACCGTGAAGTACGGGTTGAACTCCATACCAGGATATCTAAGTTGCGCTAAAATTCAGCTCGGAGAACGCTCAAGGCTCAATAAAGCACTTACCGAAATGCGAAACACTTTTCACAGAAGCGCAAACCGCAGGGGATATTATTGTCCTTGATGACTGTACAGCGCATCTTCTCGAACCTGTTTTTATTACGGCACTGATGGCAAAATTGTGGCTCGGCTGCGAGTTGATGGATCCTAGCTTGTCTTTCACTGCAAGAGCCTGCGCTTGCCTTCGACTTGGACCGCATCCTTCGCCTAGACACCTCGCCGGAATCTTCATCTTCGTTGTCGCTGTCATGCAACGTCGATTCTTCTGGGTCCGAAACCATCAACGTCGAGGCAGCTTGAGAGATGTTCTCAACATCTTTAATGCCGTCGCCAAGATCGAGACCAACCTCAGCTAGTTTCTTCCCCGACACATAAGCTTCTATCGCACGAGTACTCAGTTTGCGGTCTCGTTTTCCTGTCAAAATGTGATCCTGCGCGAGCGTACTTGCAACCTTATTGATGCTTGGCGTTAGTGCTATTATCTGTCGCGCGCGAACCCCTACATCCTTAGCTCGTCCCTTGCCCTTGCCTTTACCCGTCGATTTGTCGGTCTCATTATCCATCTCCCGTGGAATACCTTTCTCCTTGCCCTTACCCGATGTGGAAGGTCTTCCAGCATTTTCGGGATGGGTAGATGGCTGTAGGCTCGATGTTCGAGGGGGACGAGAATGGGATGTATGTCGATGGGGAGTTGGAGGCAATGTTCGTGGATCCGGACTAGGGGAGCGTGGGGTCAAAGAGGGGCCGCCTAGGAGGCTAGGATCAATCGTCCCGCCACAAAGGAATGAGTGATCCGTGTGAGGTGAAATAACCGCTGCCATTGGGTCTTCGTACAGAGATTGATTCCAACCTGCGATCATAGCGAGGTCCTCCTGATGATCGGGGAAATAGATGTCTCCGCGCATCTCCAGATCCATGTCTCCTTGCATGTTGAGCGCGTCTGGATCCATGCTCACGTCTCCGAAGAATGCATCGCGCCCACGAAGCACGCTACTCATAGCAAGGTCATCGTTACTAAGCATACGATGACTATGCATATGCGTCTCAGTAAAGGAAAGCGCTCTCTCTTGAGGTAGACTGCCATATAGCCCGCTTGGGGTATTCGACATCGGAGCATAGGTGTCCATGGTATGCTCAGACCTAAGCGCTGAGGATGTAGACCCTCTTTCTGGAGATATTTGCTCATGAGTCAGAGTCCGTGTCGACCAATTATCATTCTCCGGAAGGTTGTTCTGGGTCAAGCGAGAGGATGAAGGAAATTGGGCTGGATCATAGGAGGCCGTAGAAGTAACCCGAGCAGCCTTCGGGGAGGGCGACGGCGACGATCCATAGACTTGAAGTTCATGCAGTCCTTCAGAGACTCTAGATAAAACGTTAAATGAAGGCTTGGGAGGTTGAATAGGGGACTCCAGAAGCAACTCGCTGCGATCAGGCACAACAATAGTATTCGCGGAATGGGGTAAGTCTGGGCGTGTTCGAGACGGTCGTGGCAGTTCGAAGGTGGTGGATTCTTTTGCATGAACTGGGTACGGAGGTGAAGGCGTAATCACGTTGTCGTCGGCAGGTGGTACGCCGAGAAGGGATGCGCCCAGATACCTAAACGTGGGCAGCAAGATTCTATGCAATCTCACCGGATTCACAAGATAATTCTCAACCCGTTCGCACCATGGATCCGTGATAGGAGTTGTAGTGTGGACAAAGTACGATTGGATAGGATCCCAGCCAAATTCTCCAAGCGAATCCAGCTGCATCTCCGGAATACTGGATGATAGCTTCCTCCGTTTAGATGTAGACGGCACACTGGTGCTACGGTTCTTGTCAGAGTGCATGCCATTGATTGCACCGACAGGAATTTCGCGTTTACGTTTCGCCGTTTGTTTACGCGGTGTGGGTGCTGGTGAGGAATCTCGTGCGATTATATGAGTATGCATCGGATGGAAATCTTCTTTCTTCCGATCTGAAGGCAAAGAAGGGACATCGATGTACACACGATGCAAGGGAACGGCTCGCTTCTTGGCCAATCGATGAGGTGCTTCTGGAGACGACAAAGACGTCAGAGAAGATAATGGACTTTCTGGAATTATGTCGATGATGGATCTTGAGGGTGTGAACGACCTGCTTGCAAATATTTTCGGTGTATTTGTTTCGGGAAACTGTAGATAGCAGATGCATATCAAACGCGTCAAAGACAGAGAATAGGGAGCCTAACCTTTATGACGCTCTCGACCAAGGTACTCTCGGCAGTACTTCTATCTCGCAAAGGTACTGATACGCTTCGATTGCTTCTGTAATCGTCAAAGAGAGCCTCAACAGCTGGTACGAAGTTCTGGCGCTTAGGGCTCCCATCTGGCGAAGCAGGAAGAGAGATTGTACTTCCTTCCGGCGTTTCAGGTACTTCAAAGGTATCCTACGTTCTATCGTCAACCTATTACTCATCAAAAGGTAAAAGAAAGGTCCTACCCTATCTGTTTGCAAGGAAGTATGAATTGAAGATGTCTGACTCGGATGACTGAATGGGCTTCGATGCATCTACAATCAAATCAGACGAATAGGTTGTCAGCCATCAATTCATACAAGGGATTATCACACAATACCAATAGAACCAGTAACATGCAATACGCGATTTTGACCTTATGAACGGATATGATATGTTCCGATGACTTACCTGGTCGAACATGATCAACGTCCTCGGCGAACTCTGAGAGTTATTCTCTGACGCGTCGATTGGCTCTGCAGCGCTTTGATATTTCCCAAGATCCTTGGAGGAACTCACACTGTTCCGCGTCTGTACGAAATATGTGGATGCATGGGCTTGATGATCTGAGTCGTCGTGACCACTTGAAATCGCCGGACGTACTGATGATTTGAGCTGAATGGGGTGGGGAATAGGATTGTGAATTCGTGAAAAGCGTTCCGGGCTTGGTGGATGACCATATATATTACTTAGTTGCGTTTGAACGATATTTGAAGCGGCTGAGAAGAGCTGTACTGGTGGCGGTAGTGAGACGCCTGTGCTCTCTGCCCTCTCTGGCATCTTGAAAGATTGGATTGCGAGGTTAGTTGATATGAGAAGTAAGTCCTATCGCAGTGGCCACGTACCTCATCTGAAGACGCGAAATCCTCAGATAACAGCATCCTCTCTATTGTCATGTTTGCTTCCTCATTGTTTTCGAGGTCCGATGAATCTAAGCGTGGAGGCTTTGGGTGTCGCTTGGTTTGAGTAGACTGTGCCTTCGTAGGATGAGAACCTGGAGGCGTGTGGCGTGCATGGGAAGGTGGCATAGACCGCTGTTCGATGCTCTTTTCACGTTGCTCGACAGCAATAACAGGCCTTTTTGTCCGCCGTGGAAGAGATGGTGGTCTACTAGGAATGTATTGTGGTTGGAAATTTGAGAGCTCGCCATTCCAATTGGCAAGTTCGTAGGAAACCTGCGGCGGCATTGTTTCCGAGAAAAAGAGACCCTGAACTGCCAGCCCAGTTTGGCGATGGCCGAGCGATCCAGGCTAGTCTTTGCAGACTCCTTCTAAACAGCGCCGCTACCGCGAAGATCACGGTTGAGGTCGCCTAGATCTTTGAGGTCGTCGATAGCAAGTTGTGGTGAAAAATGCAAGCATGAGGCAGTTGCCAATGTATGCGGAATCCCACTTTTGCAAAGCCGCCCGGGACGGCGACTCACATCAAATATGGTAACTCGAAAGAGCGAAAATGCGAAAAATGGGCAATATTCCACTTAAATTTGATGACCAAACTTCTGACAGTGAGCATTCTGATAAATCAAGTGCAGATTCCAGACGATGATTCGTTCAGAATATATTGGACGGTAGTTAATGACTAGCGCCGTCACACATTGCATTGCAACCAGATCTACTCTCGGTATATTCTCGAGACAGGTGGCATGGCAGATATTCCTATGTGTCCAAGCTGATAAGAATAGAGGCGCATATCAATAGTCATGAGCTTGACACTGTAAGATCTGTGAAGCACGTTTATTGACTTGCAAGTTCCCCGTGGACACATGATGTGGCTGGGATGTAAACCTCGATGGAGGCCCAAAGT